GTGCACTTTTCCCCTAGGTTTCGGCCTTCATGGCTTATATAGGGTTCATCATGCAAATTTTTATTGTATGTTTGAAAAGGTAAAATATGTTGGAATGTAGTGTAAATGGATTAATTGGTGGAAATGCCAAAGTTAGAAAAAATCCTACAAATACTCTATGTTGCGAACTATAGGATGTTTAGGGGTATATATATATTGGTTACATTTTATTCTAATAAAATGGGTTGCATGTTAATATACCAATGGATGAGCTAAGAAGTGAAATGCTTTGACAAATGGTTGAAAAATACCTTGAGTCCCTAAGGGTACGCCCGCGACTTTTAAAGAAAAATAACATGATTTATGTGAAAAATTCTTAAGTAAATGCTTGATTAAATTAAAGAACGCCAACGGGTGTATAGAGGTCTAGACTTGTGTATTGGCATAGAATTGGCAAAAATATAAAGAAAGGAAAATAAGCGATAAAATGTATGCTTATGAAATAATCATGGTATTGCATCATTTTATTGATGCATTGTAAATTATTCTCTAGGTGTGCCTAGGGATTGAGAAGGATCGGAAATCTCTTGAAGCGATAAAAGTAACTTGTTCCACAAGTAAGCGTATTGGTAAAGCTTCAAGAGGTAAGCTCTATGTTTAAGGAGTCTTTTCCTTCTTGAGTGCTCCACCATGGTTAGTGAACTATGGTTGGACTGTCTGACTGTGATTTAGATGCTTTGTATAGATGCATTCATATAGAGTTATTTGATAACATGATATGTTTTGCTCTGATATGACTTCTGTAATATGATTTCTGTAACAATCTCTGGCCATTGATTGTATAGTACCCGGACGTCCGCTTTGGGGTCCTCCCTCGGGACTGATGGTGTACTCCTCTGATATGTCTGGTTCCGCTTTGGGGTCCTCCCTCGGGAACACGTGCGTTGATTTCCGCTTGGGGTCCTCCCTTGGGAATGACGGCGCACATCTCTGATATGATATGGATATATGCTCTGTTCTGTTATGATATCTGTTATATGTTGTATTTGTATACTCTGTATCTGAATTTCATGCAGGAGTGAGCCAGGGGTATGGAGAATTCTCTATAAACCTGGAGCTTATTGAGATTTGTAATCTCACCCCTCTTTGGGGACACATTTTCAGGGGCCCAGATTTCCGGTGAGTCCTCACTAGGCAGGGACACGACACGTGGCTGAGGCAGTTGACAGACCGGATTTTGAGTGGCTGTAGGCTACTACCTTTTTTGGAGTGTTTGATGTATTTTAGTATTTTCGCATTTGATGGATCATGATATTGATCCTTTATTTTGTATATGGCCTGTATATGTTTGGTACATGTCTATCAGTTTGATGCATGTACATTTGAGTATTCAGGAACGTTATATGATGATGTAGTATTCAGATAGGTTTATGTTTTGATGGCATGCTGTTAGATTTAGTGGCACGGAGCCATGTTATGCATGCGCCCATGTATGGGTATTTGATTATATTTGGATATCTGGTATTTCTGAATTGATATGTTGTATAAACTGTTTATCAGGAAATGCTTCTGAGTGGGATTGGAAAATCCCCAGTTGTCCGAGTTATAGAGGAAACTCTGCCCGATTTTCGTTTACGCCGAGTAAGAATTAAGTTAGAAAAAGAAAAAGTTAGCTCATATTTTTGTAAGTTAAGTCTTCCGCTGTTTCTGTTTGTATCATATGTATGTTAATTGAACCGGCTCGAGACGGGGATGTTACAAGAGGTTTCTCTTACAATCTCATCCTAAGTTCCTAACCCCTAAGATTTCTTGAGATTTCTCTTCATCTTATTTCTTTGGCGAGTTGGCACGCTCGAAACCAGGTTTCGTCATGGGAGCTTTTTGTCAAAGCTCAAAAATAGCATATTTTTGAGCGATTTTCATCACAAAATAACCTAGAAACAACAAATCAACAAGGTTGTAATATATTCCATCTCAAAAACAGCAGATTTTTTAGAGTTTTTGAAAGTTTAAAAAAAGATTTTTCAAGCCATGGCTCACGATTTTTCTTGACACAAAAATGTGTGATTTTTGTATTAAAAATAACATAAAATAGTGGAAAAACAACAGGAGAACTAAAACCCTCAAACCAATTTTCGTTGTTTTACATCAATGAAACGATATCAATTTAAAGAAAGATTGAAATTTTCATAATATGAACCATATATTTCATAACAATACATTCATGAACGAAATTTCTTCGCTATAGGAAACGATTTCAAATAATTTTTGTGTCAATAGATAACTAAAAGCTTATTTTTCAAAAGTAATTTAAGGTTTCAATATATTTCTTCAAAATAATTTGAGAAATTTTATAAACTTTCATATAATAAAATTCATAAATTCATATTCAAAATTTTCTTAGAATACTCAATGAAAATATGCATATGATATATGGTTAAAAAACACTCATCACGTAGAACAAAAACCAGAATATTTCCAAAATCAATTGCAAAAAATTTCAAGCAAAATTTTATCATGAATTTTATGTTCTATATGCAAATTTAAAATTATTTTAATAAATAAAAAAATTGGTCTTATAATAATATATACATAGCTCTGATACCAAATGAAAAAGATAATTTTGAAACCATTGGTCAAACCCAAGAGCAGGAACGAGAAAATGCTAATGCGTGGAGGACTAATATAGTTTTAGATATGTGGAGAGCTGTTGCTTAGTAATTTTAAATATTTGTTAAAAATTAAAGGTTTATTTTTTTTAAAGTTACTTTAGACAACTTTGTCTAATGTTCACTGAAATGACGTCGTTTTAAGACAAAAATCATGGTGTAGTATACTTTTAATTATTTTAAGGTTATAATAGTCTTTATCATTCTAATTTTTTAATTTTTTTAACCTAAAACAACGTCATTTTAGTGAACATTAGACAAAATTGTCTAAAGTAACATTAGATACTTTTTTACCAAAAACTATATTATGTTTTACTGATTGAGAAAATTATATTAGGTTTTACTTTTTTTATTAATGTCATTACATTTCTTTGATATTTTCTTCATTGACTCTTGTAATTTTGAATTTTTGTTAAAAATTCGTATGATTTTTTAAAATTTTATAAATCCATATTGTACTTTTAAATCTTATAAGTTCTATTAAAATACTTTAAAATTCAATCTTATGAAATATTTATTATAAAAAAGTCTTTTAAAAAAAGTCTTTAAAGTCCTTCCATTTTTAAATAGTCTTTTAAAATCTATAAAAAAATTTATCTCAAAAAAATATTTTAAAATCTTAATCCAATTAAATGTGTCTAAATAAAAAAAATTAGAATAAGGACCAAAAAACAGAAGAAAAAAATAAATATATTGAAAATTCGTAGCTGTGATTTCTTTTTGTTCTTTTTTTATTTTATTTTTTGTCTTAATTTTGTCTTCTATTTTTTGTATTGGTCTTTTTTATATATCTCTCTTATTTTTAAAGTAAGAATAGAAATTTTATAAAAAAACAAAAACAAAAACAACTAACATATGTTCTTGTCTTTGTATTATGAAAACAAATTATGGAGAACATATTTTCAAACTAATCATATGACAATCAAGTATCCAAATCGATTTTATTTTGTGTTTTAGATCTTAAAAACAAAGTATTATTTCTAGAACTAGAATGAAACAAGATACCCCCCGAAGATTTCATTATTAAGAAAATTAAAAAAAAAATTAACTATTTATTTATTACATGTCACTGCACCAAAGATCTCGAACCAAATGCATTGATTCTTTATTTTTTTAATTTTATTTTACAACATTGATTGTTTTTATTTTTATTTTTTTGGAAGTAACTCAATCCTAATTATCTTTTTTAGACGAATTGGCTCTACCCTTGTATTCCAACCTTCGACTCTTTAACCATTTTATGAGATTAATCCGAAGTATAAGATGGATCAAAAATGAAGATATTCAAATCACAAAACATTAATTGTTTATTAAAACATTGAAGAATTCATTCGTGCAATGGTCCTCCAAGCACCATCCTTCTAAAAATATAATTACAATGCAACACCTGTCCCAAAGATGACGTTTCACCCCATCATAACTATAATATTTAATTCACCCATTACCCAAAATGGCATCCGACCTTATTATATATTAATGAAATATCATAGAAATTATATGTAATGATCCCCTAAAGGAGTAAGTAATCGAACACCTGCAGAATGCCCATTGGGGATCTTGTAGTTTTCAGTTTTAGAAAAGCTCCCCACCCTTAATACTTTATGTGTCACCCTTTAGATTATGCTCATAAACTAGTAATTTTGTGTCCTACATGCATAGGCCCTAGTTCACACGTGTCAACATAAGAAGATTTCTCTTTATATTTTTTCTTGTCTCACATTAGCATAAAATAATAATAATCTTGTTTAGTATAATCCTTAGTTAAACATGTTACCTAATAGCTTAGCACGTTCTTGAATTTTCAAATATGCCCTTGGTTAATTAAAATGTCATTTCATTCCATGATTCACTAATTGCAATCCCCTAACCCCTTGATTGGCTCAAGAATTTGTTGGTGATGAAGTAAACTTTGCTCAGAGGTGGGGCTTATCAAAGGGTTAGGCCGATATCAACAAGATGTAAATAATAGAGGGTAAGGGTATTTTTGTAAATTTGTAGTTGATAAACAAGCATGCTTTTTAAGTCTCCATGGTACCTTTTTATTTATGGAAAATACTAATCTCATGTCATAGGAGATTAGTATCTCATGTCATAGACATAAAATACATGAAGCACACTCATTTATTTATTTATTTTAAAAAAATGAGTCATACATATTTTATGTCTATAACATAAGTTTATTTAACAATGGTAATAAATTTTTTACATAATTCGCGTAACATATTACCCTTGTTTATTTTATTTTCTTTTTTCTTTTTTTATACTATTTATCATGATATAAGATTATGATTCGCACATTAGTTGCCCTGATCATACTCTTAATTATTTACTTTTTTTTTTGTTTTTGCTAAACAAGAACAAATTGAGATAAAGTTGGGGGCATAGCTGCAGGTATAAATATGCAGCAAACACTGAACACAAATCAGTACCATAGAATTTGGAAAACAAATTTTACCTAAGAGCAAAATTAGAAGCCTTTGTGTGTGTATTGCGGAGTTATGGCGGCAAACATGGGATGGGGTGTGAGTGTGATAGAATATGATGGATGGAGGAAGGGACCTTGGACTGCTGAGGAAGACAGATTGCTCATTGAGTATGTCAAGTTGCATGGTGAAGGTAGATGGAACTCCGTTGCTAGGCTTGCAGGTACCTAACCAATCTTTATAGGCTCTCTTTTGCTTCTTAATTTCCTAACATAATTTATAAATTAGTTCAATATCATTTGACTTTCACATTAGAAGTGACAGCACAATTATAGCAACAGAACAACTAAAATTGCTTCCAACTTCTACTCATTAGATTGGCTACCCTTGTACTATAAGTTCTTCATTTGGCCTTTTCTGACCATGTTTTTGATAATTGTCTGTCAACTCTTAAGTCTCACCCTTCAGACTCTTTTATCTCTTCTTTTTTCTACATGATTGATTATGTGTTTTTTTTTTTTTTAAAGGACTGAAAAGAAATGGGAAGAGCTGTAGATTGAGATGGGTGAATTACCTGAGACCAGATCTCAAGAAGGGTCAGATAACACCACAGGAAGAAAGCATAATTCTAGAGCTGCATGCTATGTGGGGAAACAGGTAAAATTTGCATTGCCAATCTCTTGAACTTGCATGTTTTCTCTATTTGGAGAGCTTCAAGAGCTATATAATAAGGTCTTGACTTCTAAATCAAAAAACTTTAGGTGGTCAACAATAGCAAGAAGCTTGCCAGGAAGAACTGACAATGAGATAAAGAATTATTGGAGAACCCATTTCAAGAAAAAGACAAAAGGTCCATCTGTTGCTGCTGAAAAGGCTAAAAATCATCCCTTGAGGAGACAGCAATTTCAACTTCAACAACAGCAGTTGAGGCAGCAGCATAATGTTCAGCAGCAACAACAACAACAACTACAATTCAACTTGGAAATGAAAGGGGTCATAAACTTGCTTGAGGAAAATAACCATAGTGAGCCTTCTATATCTCTAGAGACCCAAGAAATGGTCAGCATGTATCCAAACACAACAGAACAGCAGGGTTACTTCTACTCTATGCTCAATGGCAATGTCTCTGTCCCAGAATCCTCAAACGAAGATTTTATGTGGGATGGGCTGTGGAACTTGGATGATATTCTTTGCAATTTCAGTGCAGCTACTGCTACAAGCAAAGCCACTCTTCACAATTTAGTTGCTCCCTTTTGTTAAAGCTTTTTTTCTTTAGCCTTGAATTCTGTTATAAGAAGAATAGTACTACAAATTTGAGTCACGGCTTGATAAAAGGGTGGACTCATGGTAGTAAGTGATATTCTGAAGGTGAGTTGTTGTGTTACCTGTCGATAAAGTGTCTCAATTTTTTCTTGTAAAGACTGAATGAATTTGGCTTTTTTGCTTCAAGATTGTTTTTTCTGATAAAAAGAAGTACTGACAACTTTCTGAGGAAAATAAGAAGGAAAGTGGAAGAAATAGGAAAATGATAAACTAGATTTCCTTTTACATAATCTTAACAATGATTCTCAGCTGTTTGCTTTTCCTCTTCCAGTTGTCTGAAACCAAAGTGGGAGTAGAAGCTTAAAAATAAAAGTGAAATTACATAAAGCACTTAAAGGAACTAATTAAATACCCTTTGCGTCATTTGGATGTGAAAGCTGTGTACATAAGACTAAGCATGCCATTACTGCATAAAGAAACCCCCTTTTAAGCATATAGATCATGAGACACTTTTGGTACTAGTACAACTCAAGATGGAGTTCTTCATGAATCATGACATCTTTGTCATTATATTCTTTTCGTCTATTTAAGCAACACATATACAAATGCTCTCTTATTTTTTTTCATTTGTTGCAAATAAATATATTTGGGATTAGGCTTAAAATAAGATAGAATTGGATTCTTTAAAGCTCAAATATATAGTTATCATTTTATATTTCACAAATCATCTTTTTACATGTTGATTATACCCTAAAAATGTCTGTAGAAGTATCACCGATTCTAACATTCCACTAGCATCTATACCAGAATCTGGAATTAAAGGGGGAGGAGAGATACTATCAGAAATCGTCAGGGAGAAAAAAATTCTTCTACAAACTTTAAATTTTGTATTTGTATGGTGTAGATTGATTTTATTGAGGCTGAAGGAAAAGATTTGAAAGAATTAATATCAACCTTCCCGGAATTCAAAATTACTATCGTTTTAAAAATTTAGAGAATTAACAAAGAATATTTTATTTTTTATTATTAATTTTTCCAAAATATCTTTAATTAATTCTCTCAACTCTCAACTCTCAAAATGATATAATTTTGATTTTGCCGGAGATAATTTTATTTCCCACGACAAGAGAAAGAATAAACCCTTATTATAAATTCAACAATTAATGAAATATTTTAAAACTTTCTCTCAATACTTGTGCACATGAAAAAATAAAATTAAAATAAACTATGCAATCTTCAGTTTATTGAGTTTAAAATAGATATTTAAAAGTTTATAAAAAAAGGAGATGGTTTTGAATTGAATATGAGAAAGAAAATTACGTGTATATCCTTTTCCATACCCCATGTAATCCTGACTCAGGATTCAAGTTAAACTCTTCATTCTCTAGACCCGCCAAAATCAAACTCAACGCAACTGGTGGCTCTCATGGTTCTGAGGAGGACATTTACCCTCACAACCTCTCGTTATTACAGTTCTGCCACTCTCTTTCACGCACCGCACAATCTCCTTGATCTGCTTCAGCTCTGCATAGAACTTCGTGCGCAGAAACTTGCACAGCAATGTCACGCTCAAATCCTCGCAAATGGGTTTGCGCAAAACGCTTTCCTCAGCACCAGGCTCGTCTCTACATACGCCACGTGTGGAGAGTTAACCATGTCAAGGCTCGTCTTTGAGTCCATTGAGGCCAAGAACGTTTATCTCTGGAACTCGCTTATTAATGGGTATGTGAAAAATCATGACTTTAACGAAGCCCTTTCGTTGTTTCGCGAAATGGGTCGCAGTCATGATAATAGTGTGTTGCCGGATGATTACACTCTGGCAACGATTTCCAAAATCTCTGGTGAGCTTGAGGACTTGGTTTCTGGAAAATTAATTCATGGGAAGAGTGTAAGGATTGGGTTTGCGTCAGATATTGTTGTTGCCAATTCTGTGATGTCAATGTATGGGAGGTGTGGACAGCTTGGTGATGCAATGAAGGTGTTCGATGAAATGCCTCAAAGGAATGTGGGTTCATTCAATGTTATAATTTCTGCATGTGCCGCCTTGGGAAATTGTACTTCTACTTCCCGTGATGATATATGGAACTTTTTTCTAAGAATGCAATATGAAGGGTTTAAGGCTGATGCTTTCACAGTTGCAAGTCTCCTGCCTGTGTGTTGTGGTAGTACTGGGAAATGGGATTATGGGAGAGAACTTCACTGTTATCTTGTGAAGAATGGATTAGATTTGAAGATGGGTTTAGATGTTCATGTGGGATCATCTTTGATAGATATGTATTCAAGGAGTAATAAAGTTGTTCTTAGCAGGAGAGTATTTGACCAAATGAAAAGGAGAAACATATATGTATGGACGGCAATGATCAATGGTTATGTACAGAATGGAGCACATGAGGATGCATTGGTTCTTCTCAATGACATGCAAATGAAGGATGGAGTACGACCCAATAAAGTATCACTTGTTAGTGTGCTTCCAGCTTGTAGCTTGCTTAATGGATTAACGGGAGGAAAACAAATACATGCGTTTTCTATTAAAATGGAGTTAAATTATGACATTTCCCTATGTAATGCTTTAATTGATATGTATTCCAAATGTGGGAGTTTGGATTATGCAAGACGAGTCTTTGACAGTGGTTCTTACTTCAAAGATGCTATCACTTGGAGTTCAATGATTTCTGCATATGGATTACATGGGAGAGGAGAGGAAGCTGTAATTACATATTACAAAATGCTTCAGCAAGGGATCAAACCTGACATGATAACAGTGGTTGGTGTTCTTTCTGCTTGTAGTAAGTCAGGATTGGTAGATGAAGGCATTAGCATATATAACTCACTGATGACTAACTATGAAATGAAACCAACAGTTGAAATCTGTGCTTGTGTTGTAGATATGTTGGGTCGATCAGGCCAGCTTGATCGAGCCTTACAGTTCATCAAAGAAATGCCTCTAGATCCTGGTCCAAGTGTTTGGGGATCTCTTTTAACTGCCTCTGTACTGCATGGGAATTCAATGACAAGAGACCTGGCTTATAGGTGTCTCTTAGAGCTAGAACCTGATAACCCTTCAAATTATATCTCGCTTTCAAATACATATGCTTCTTATCAAAAATGGGATGTGGTAGCTGAGGTGAGAACAATGATGAAAGAAAGAGGTTTAATAAAAGTTCCAGGTTGCAGTTGGATAACTATCAGTGGTAAGACTCATTCTTTTTCTGTTGCTGACAAAGCACATCCTTCTTCTAGTTTAATCTATGAAATGCTTGATGACCTTGTATCAATAATGAAAGATGGTCGTGTTGATATTGATATTCTGACTTAAATCTCTGGATATTGATGTGATGAAAATCTTGGAAGTGTCGAGTAAACATTGAAAACTGGCCAGCCATGTAGCTCAGCCAACTTTGAAATTATTTGCTTGGTGATCATTGAAGACTCAAAATCAGATATGCTGTTCATTATTTGAGTGAGAAAAACGATAAAAAGCCCCAGCTTACAGGTGATTTTAATAAATATGGTTTACTTTATGTTGCGACAGTATCTTTGAACGTGGTAACTGCAATCGGTCCCCTGATATCCCCAGAGATACTGAGCAACTAATCAATGTGCAGATGAGATGCTTGAATGTTCACATGTAAGAAGAAAAGGGAAGGGAAAAAAAAAACTATAACACCAGAATTTTATTTTAACCATCTCATTCAAATCAAGTTTTATTGCTGCATGGGTAACAAAAAGCATATGAGCTACCCCCATTGCTGGGAGAATAGGGATCTGGATGGAGTTCACATTCTGATTTACAACCTGATAGCAGAGATCTTCAATTCAAATGTAATAGCAGTAACAGGAAGTTGGCTGCATGTGTTAAGAGATGTTGATTCGACGATTCATGCCAATGTGGATAGAAGTGTTGTATAACTTTTTTTTTTTTGCTTTTTTTTTTTTAGTTTAGGAAGAATAAATGATGGTAAGTTTAGGATATGTGAACATTTGTATTCTTGCTGCAGATTTTCCTGCTTCTACAACTTTGCCATTTTTCTTTTTTTTTTCTTTTTCGATTCATTCAATGAGAAAAGTGGATATAGCTTTGAAAATAAAACTCATCTAAAGTGTATGGATCTGCTTCTAAATTATAGTAAATTAAGACACTTTATAGACAAATTCAATTTAGAAGAGTTTTGTCCTATCCTTTTTCAGTTGTTTTGCCAACTCGAAGATACAATCTCATGTGTTGACGGTAAAGTATACCCTAGAGAATGTGTAATTACGCAACATAAGTTATTAGCTCTAGAGGTTCGATTAAACAAAGTACATAAAATGAGAAAAAGTGCCCAAAACCCAAGAATAAGATAGTGGAAGCTAAAGGGGAAAAAACAAAGAAAGTCCAAGGAAAGAATGCTTGATGAAGGACCCCGGCTTGATGGTGAAGCAAATGAAATGTGGAACGAGATGGTTATGTGTATCCAAAAAGTGGGAAGGGGGGGGTTAGGGTAAAGCAAAGGGAATGGATTCCAAACAAAGAAAACTTGGTTGTGGATTGAAGAAATGCAGGAGGCGATTAAGCAGAAGTACTACTTTAGATGTCTACATAAATGTTCAAATGATGAGAACTTACAAAAGTTTAGATTGGCGGAAAAAAATGCTAAAAAAGCAATGCGAGAGACTAATGGCAACGTTTTCTCCAATTTGTACAAAAAAACTTAGGAGTAAGGATGGTAAAAAAAGTATATGTAAACTTGCAAAAATAAGAGATAAGAAAAGTAAAGACTTAACCCAGGTTAGATGCACCAAGGATGAAAATCAAAAAGATTTGGTAAGAGATACAGAAGTTAAAAAAAGGTGGATGAACTACTTTAACAAGCTTTTTAATAGAGATAGCGATAAAAATGAGGTGGATTTGGAGGACGCTTATGATGATTTAAATAGAAGGTTTGTGCGTAGAATCAAAACATATGAAATTAAAACAAGATGAAGACTAGTAAAGTTTTAGGACCCGATAGTGTCCCTATTGAAGTGTGGAGAGGCTTGAAGGATGTGGCAATAAATTGGTTGACAAATATTTTCAATAAGATTCTACAGACAAATAAGATACCTGATGTATGGAAGAAAAATATGCTCGTGCCTATTTACAAAAACAAGAGAGATATCTAGAATTGTTCTAATTATAAAGGCATTAAGCTTATGAGACATACTATGAAGTTGTGGGAGATATATAGTTATTGAACATTGCTTGTGGAAGGAGACCAAGGTCTCTGTAAATCAATTTGACGTTATGCCAGGAAGATTTACCTCGGAGGTCATTTTCTTGATACAACAATTAATGGAAAGATATAGAGAAAATAAGAATGGCTTACATATAGTGTTTATAGATCTTGAGAAAACATATGATAGGGTTCCAAGTAAGGTTCTATGGTGGATTATTGAGAAGAAAAAAGTATCATCAAAGTATGTGGAGGCAATCAAGAATATATATGAAGGTGCTACTACATGTGTGAAAGCTTATAACAGAACATCAAGTTATTTTCCTATCACGGTAGATGTACACCAAGGATCTGCTCTGAGTCCTTAACTGTGCTCTAGTTATGGATGAACTAACAAAAGATACTCAAAAGGAAGTGGCATGTTATATGCTTTTTGTAGAGGATATTGTGCTTATTGATGAGATTAAAGCTGGTGTTAATAGAAAATTAGAATTGTAGAGAGGCACGTTGGAGTTGAAAGGTTTCACTCTAAGCCAAAGCAAGATAGAATATATTTGGGATCGGTGAAAGATGAAGATTAAGACTCCATGCATCTGCTTAGAAAAAGGTACTCAAGAAAGATGTTGTCATATATTTGGGATCTATTTTGCAAAAAAGTGGAGAAATTAATGAGGATGTGAACCACGTAATCAAAGTAGGATGGATGAAATGGTGTAATGCATCAGGTTTTTGTGCGACCGCAAGATTCTCCTTGGGCTAAAAGGAAAATTCTATAGAACAGAAACAAGGCTTGCAATGTTATATGGATCTGAATGTTGGCCAACACATAGGCAACATGAGCATAAAATGATAGTAGCAGAGAATGTTAAGGTGGATGTGTGGTCATACAAGAATGGATAAGATAAGAATGAAGATATTCAAAAGGTAGGAGTAGTACCTATAGTTGAAAAGACGAGAGAGCATAGATTGAAGTCGTTTGGGCACATAAAGCGAAGACCCCTAGATGCTCCCGTAAGAACAAAAATGTGTTACCAAAAACTCAATACAAAGAGAAGAAGGAGGCAGACCGAAACTTACTTTTGGGAGAAAGTAGTTAAGCAAGACTTAATAGAGTGAGATATAGATTGGCGGACGGTATGTCTTAGGATAGATTGGAGGAAAACTATTAACATTGTAGAGGGTTAGACTCTTTTTTGCTTCTTATGTTCCAAACGGTCTCTTTTTATTTCATTCCCCCTATTTCTCCCTTTATTTCTTTCTTTACCTCTCCTTTCTTTTATTTCATTTTTTCCCTTTTCTATCTTTCTTCTCTTATTAATTTATTTTTATTTTTTCTTTATTTTCATGTTTCCATTTCTTTAAAATAAATTATGTATCTTTTTTTTCTCTCTTTTATGTATCTTTATTATCGCTTTATTTTATTTCATCTTTTTCTTAATCTTTTTCTTAATCTTTTATTGCTATGTTTTCATTTCTAATGCCATTTATAGTTCTCTTAATTTTATTTCTATCCTTTTTTTTTCCTTAATTTTTTCGTACTTTTCATTTGGGTTCATTTACCACCAATCCTAACTAATTTTGGATAAAGATGATGTTGTTGCCAACCCTACTAAATTAGAGAAGATTAGATTAAGCTATGTGGTTTTGCTAACCACTGTGCTTCTATCACTAATTTAACATATAGCAATGTGGATCTTTTCCTTCTATGATGAGTCAATATAAACGGGAAGTTAAAGAAACCAGGACAATCTTGTAGCAGGCTATGTTGAAACCTATAGAGAGAGAAAAGGATCCAGGACAATCATATTCTTCTTCTTACTCTTCTTCTCTCTCTCTTCATAAAAGAAGGAAGGATGCAATAGTGTTAGTACTCCACCAAAATAATAATAATAATAATAATGTCAGTCGTACAATGCTTAAGTGCTCAAAATGAAATATGATGCACAAGTTTCCTTCACAAATATATACTTGTAACTGTATGTTTCGCAGAAGTTAATATCCTGCTCGGCAGCTGACTTGGTAGAATACTCAGATTCAGCTAATTCATTATTATACATTTGTTGGTAAGAACACCCGTGGCTTTTTTACGTGCAAATACCGCAACTCAAATTTCTTTGGAGGTGCCTTTCTAGGAAGTTTTAACACGCACAAAACCAGACATTAAATCGTGCCAAAAACCCCGATTCCAAGAAACTGAAGTAACAACATCTAAAACAGAACCCGCAACAGAGGTAACAACATCCACAGTACAATTCAAAGAATATTGAGAATCTTATCCTTTGCAAGGAATACAATCACCAATGAGCCAAATGAAAAAGACCACATTAAAGCTATAGGTTTGTATGTCTTTTACGCTTACATGGTCCTCACTTGGTCTATGTCTAACCAACGTGGGATTTCATCACACTTGAATATTTTCAATATCCTCCCTTAAGCGTGAGTCCCAAACATCATCCTCTCCAAATACTAGACCGGCACAACCATTGAGAGCCCAAAACCCTTTACAAGAAATACATTCACCAATGGGCCAAATGAAAAATCACAATAAGTGATCTGTCCACATCTTAACCCAAAACCCTAAGGATGTAGGACTATGGGTGTTTTGCACTTATGTAATTCTCACTAGGTCTATGTCTAATCAAGTAGGACTGCATTACTATTCATCCTTGAATATTTCCAACAAAGAAAGCAAATGCCAAGAAACCAGAGAATTTATTTTTCCTTTTTTTTTATACAATAGTGGCACTGAGATTTGAACTTACAACCTCATGCAGACTACTCAAATCCCTTACCACTAGACCAATTCTAGTGGCTTAGCGAAATTGTATGTCTTACCTTGTTACTGACATAAATTTTTAAAACAGTTTTGTATGGCATTCATGCCTAAGATATGATACAACGGTATTATTAAAAATGCTATTTATTAAATCCTCCAACCTAAAATTTTGAAGGATTTGTTGTTTCATGACCTTACAAGATGTAAGAAATAAAACTACCCCGACATATGTGCCACCTCCAGGTTTCTTTAGCATAAACCTTAAAATAAATGGTCCACGGGAACGGCACTTGAAATCACGGTGACAAGTTAAAATTTACCTCCAGAACTGAGTAAACCTCATCGAGGGAAGTCACCTTGAAATCTGGTTTGAAATCAACATTGGCATACTCAGGAGAATCATATCTTCCCGTTTGATCAAGCAAGCATGTAAATGTTCCTGCTTGCCTTCCACAAGCCACCTGTAAGGTCGAACAAGCAACATCAATCAATTACTATCCAATTTAAAATACATCTGAGCACCATAAATTTACTAGGAAAATATGTGCGTAAAATGGAAAGGAATTGGTTTAGTGGTTTGCAACTGTGTTGGAAATAAGGAGCCACTTTAAAAATATCTGCTATTTGCTCACCTTTACAATTACACCAAAACTGGATAAGACAATGAAATTTCACTTTGCTAGTTATTTATTGTAATGTATTGATAATATTCAAAAAAAAAAGTTCCTAACATATTTGGAAGTTATAAATACAGAATAACAATGTTAGCAAGTAGGCATAAAGATGGTATAAAATATGCGAAAATAGAGAGGAACACAAACATTTCCTTATGCCACCTGTGTAGGCCACTTATTTGGGCAGGAATCCTCATTATATGACCAATCAAATGCAAGTATTAGAAGTGGCATAAAGCTGACTTCGATAAAATGATGTGAGAATACCACTAGCCATTATGAAATGAACTCCAGAATAAAATAACAGCCTAAGTCACAGGATTCATCTACTACGAACAACCACACTCTGGTTTGCAGACATATGATGAAATTCTTGTGCAGACCATAACGTTAACTAATCAGCATTATTGAACCCACTCAATGTGAAAGATTTGAAATATTTTCTTATTTTTTGCTCCTTTCTGCATTTCATTATATATCATGAAATTGACATTAGCAGGAAAAGAACCACGTACATCATCTTTAAGGCTATCCCCAATCATTATTACTTCATTTGGTTGAACTTCCCAAGCAGAACAAATGTGCAGTAGCGGAGCTGGACTGGGTTTATAAGGACGAAATTCCCTGCTTAATGCCGGAGAAAATTCAATCTGCAGGAATGAGGTATAATATATAACGAAGGAGATAAAGAAAGAACTAACAGCAAACAAGTAATTTCCTTCACCATGCTATCAGTCATGGAATATCAAAATGAAAGAGGAAAGAGAAAGAGAAATGTGAATGTTCAATTTATTATGCCTGTATTAGAATTAGAAAACAGCAGATGGACCTTTTAGAATAATATCCATATACAATTAGTCAGTAGTCCAGATGCCACAACCTCAACCACTTTTTCATTTTGCTTATTATGTTTTCTATATTTATTTACTTCTGTTGGAGGGAGGATTAAAAGAAATAAAATAGTTAACGACCAGTGGTTTAAGCAGTGTCCTAAACTCCCAATATTCAAGTTACAACCAATAATAGTAACTTTGTGACATGCACCATAGGAAGCACATTTATGAGAAAAAAGGATTTTTCCATATCTTAAACCGTACTTATCAGACCACACCAACCTTTCTTGACAGTATTGAAAATACAACATAACAAAGTAACCATCATATCCAAGCATCAAGCAACTGCATAACTTCTCCATTATCACAGACTGATTTGTATCATACCTATAGACACATGAAAGCTGCAGTGTAATACCATATCGAAGCCAAAGACAAAGCTTAAATGGTATAACCAAATTTTCACACACAACTTCCCCGTATCAATTTAATCCAACTCTCCTAGAAAGGAAAAAAAGGTTCCAGTTGTCGATAAACTCACCCCAAACCGTTCATGGAACAAATCAACAGCCGACTTCACATTGCGTGTGATCAATCCCCTCCTAAAAAAATAAAAAAAACAAAAAAAAAACATATATAGCATTAGTAATTTATTCACAATGCATAAATACCAAGATCATAACTTCATTATTATTGGGACAAATTCATAGTTAGTGTAAAAGAACCAATTCAATCCAAAAACTTAATTTATATTATAAACTAACACGCCTCCTCAAACAAAAGCCCATTGGACTTAAATGGTGTGGATGATGCATCAGACCCAACCTACCTGTCATTTGCTAAGAAATTTCACAAGAAAAAGTGGAGAGTTGTGAGGGTCGAACCCGCAAACCAAGACTTTAATATCATGTAAAGAACTAATTCAACCCAAAAACTTAAGTCGCAGTGGTAGCCTCTCTAATCATTTATATTATAGTTAACAAATACCATAATGGCAAAAAATAAACTTCATATTGAAAAGTATTGGTATCTATATGTTGTTAACACACATGAAAAAGGATTATAATATTGATACATGAAAGGAAAACCAGAGTGTGTGCTTAACTGGACCTTATTTTCTTTGAATCAAGAAAGCCACAAAGTTCAGCTGCACCTGCACCACAGCGTATCAAACCCGTACCAGCAAAGACAATAAAGCAAAAGAAAGAAAGAAAGTAGAAGAATGATACCCGGCATGATTTGGAGGCGATCGATTCCCAAGCGTTCGTAATGAGCGATGGTATCGTAAGCCTTGCACTGTTTCTCTGAAGGCCAGTTCTCGATGTGCTTCAATATGTCAATCCCCGAAGGACTTTCCGCTTTGATCCTACGGTACTCGTGGTCGCCGAGCACCGCCTTGTACATGGCGGCGAAGTCGATGACGGGGACGGTGAGGGTGCCGTCCATGTCAAAAACGACGCCCTTGAGGCGCGTTTTGGCAGACATGGTTTTGCTCTTCGAGTGCGGGAAGAGGAAGAGGAAAGCCTTAACGGTGTTGGATAACAGCAATTGCATTGAGTTGAGTGCTACAATTTCGAATATTCAAGATTCCAAATGACAGGTTCTTGTTTTTCGGATAGATACTATATTATCACATCCACAACAACATTTTTCATCATATTGCTCTTACTTATGCGGGGGTGGATCGTGAAAAAATGATAGTGTTATTTAATCATGATCGCTTTTTTTTTTTTTTTTTTTATTAATTAGTAATTATGATCAAATAATATTTTTCGCATCAGAGGATCCCCCGCCCTATTTATACACAGTGACTCGTTACTCGTTAACTGTGACTCACCTCTATTTTTAACTAATTCGTAGAAACTAATTATTTGATTATCCCTCCACTCTGCTACCACCGACTATTCCAGTTAGCTCCTGATTAACCCTTATAACTGAATTTATAACAGCGAATAATGTTGAAATCCACTCATTTTCTTTCCTTCTTTCTTATATGTTGATAAACTATATTCCCTTTATAATATTCCAGCTACCTTGCGAAGTTTTAGTAATTTTGTTTATTTCTTGATATATAAATTTTATTAAAATATCTTTTATTAATTTTTTTGGTTTCCAAAATTACATCATTTTGGAATTATTAGAGGTAATTTTATCTCAAATTATCTGGGAAACAGGGAATAATTTATATAATTCAAGTTTAACAATATTAAGTTTAAATAATTTATGGGAATAATATTACTTCAGTAAAATTAGTGGAATCTTTGTACTAAAAAAAATAAAAAATTAGTGGAATCTATTTTTTTTTCTCATGTGCATAAAAAATGATCGATCTGAAAAAGAAAGGAAATTTCACAATTTTTTTTTCATATATGGCAAAGTGATGGAAAAGAAAGAATATCTTTTAGATATCTATCCAATTTGTTTACTTTTCTTAAAATGACGGAAAAAAGAATTTATCTTCTTACGAGAAAAAAAAAATTTGAAAAATATCTTCCTATAAAAATTGTCTCAAATAGCATGAAATTAATAAATAATTGGTCATATAATATCGGTTATATAGATGCTTTTTATGTCTAATACCATATTACATATTTATCATATTGTTTGTTTTATTTTATTATTTGTCTTTTTAATTCGAAATTGAATTTTCACTTTATTGAACTCATTTCAGATCAAGACTGAAACGTAAAAAATTTGGTTGGATTTTAACTTGTCGAAAAATAAAAAAGTATATCATAGGTCTTTCTACTGTAGAGGTAGTCTTCATCTTCACAAATATATCTATTTCACCAAACTTCTACTCGAGACAATGCCCAAATCGTTATTCACAAAGTTTTCACTCACTTTGAAATAAATGTGATAAGGAAAATATTTATCTCATAATTTATTTAATTAATTTTTATTAAAATATTTTTTATTACCCTCACACATGTTGACAATAGAGCAAAAAGATTCTATGACAGCCTTGTAGCTCAACAGGATTACAGCTCGGTTAAGTTAAAATAATTCCAGTTAATTCACATAATTGGTAATTTTTATTAAAGGGAAAAGTATTTATTTTTTAAAATTATAAAAAATTATGACATTCTAAATTTTACTATTGTGTTTACAAGGGGAGAGAGACTTGAAATATAAAGGCAGATATCATAATGGAAAAGAGTGAAAATTTAATTTATTTAAAATGATATAATTTTTGTCCTAAGAAAAAATATTTTTTCTTTTATTAGAATATTTGAATAAACTTGAAAAAAAAAACAAATTTAAAAGCGACAAATAGGAATTTTGTAGTTAATAATCCATTTTATTTTGTTTTTTATTTTCAAAATCCCGATAATGCATAAGAAAAAAGGAAACAGGTTGAGGTAGCTTCTCTCTCTCGCATGGAGGTGATTGCGAGCTCTGTGAGTGTTTCCTTTTCACTTCGTTGCTGTCACAAGACCTCTTTCCCAACCATGTCCATTCCTCAGGTTCTCTTTTTCCATTTCTCACTGCCTTCTTTATATTCTCATCACTTTTCTGTTTCATCCATCCCCACATGCCGTTTGTTCCCCGAGAAAAACTGCAAAAAAGGAAAAAGGAAAATCTTTGAACGCTACCCTTTATTTATTTATTTATTCATTCTCAATCAGCTAATTTAGAGATTGAATGTAAGTGAGAGGGACATGAATAATTTGACTTGAGTAATAAGTATTCACTCAATTGTACCTTTTACAGGTATCACAGTGGAAATGTTTTTCTATAAGGATAGTAGAATCTCGGTTTTCTTTGACACATAGAAGGAAGAAAGATGTTGTTTTTACAAATGGGGTTTCTGGAAATGAATTTTCAGTTGGGTTAAGCAACATATGTTTTCTTCAGTGTAGCTTGTTTCCATCAAGTTGGGGTTTCCATGCCAGAAGGAGGAAATGTAACAGTTTTCTAAGATTGAAGGATTACTCAGTAAACTTAAGACAGCATGCCTCAGTTCTATTTGTGCGGTTGGTAGCTGGAGTGATGTTGGTCATGTCAGTGTCTTTGGCTTCCAGCAAGCCATCCTGTGAGTGAGTTTGATCTGTAATACAACCGTAATTAAAGTTCAACTGATAACGAACTTGTTTTAGAATTTTTATAATATAATTTTGTCTTAATCTTGTATTCATTATTGTGTGATTTTTTCCCCCTTCAAGGGGCCCTGTCCGAAGAGAATCTCCTCTTTTTGGAGGCTTGGAGAACAATTGACAGAGCATATATTGATAAAAGTTTTAACGGACAAAGTTGGTTTAGGTATAGAGAAGATGCACTGCGCAATGAACCGATGAACAATCGAGAAGAGACATGTATAGATTTCATTCTTTACCTTTTTATTTGTTTTTTTCATGTTACTTCACAAAAACTGCATTCTAAGATGGTAAATTCTCAATGTTTTCCACATAGAAAATTCCTGCCTTTCTCTACTCTAGTAATATTTTTTTATAAGTGCAATTGTACCTATGATCTGTTTCTCTGTTTTCTCTCTCGAGTTTACAATTCCACATTACTAAATTGTATTCATCGATGCCTGCAAATCGGTTTGTGACACCAACATATACACAGCTATAGACAAACTAACAGAAGGAAAGGTAGAAAGCTTAACTATGGATTCCGATAAATGGTTCTCTGGATATAATGATGGGAAGCAATATTGCTAGCTTAAAATTTATTGAATATTGAGAACTATGAGAGGATAAGCCAATTATATCTGACCCATACATATAAAAAAGATCTGAGATAACAACCCTGACGGACAGAAGATTGTTTTTATTGTTAGGAACTTACATTTCATGCTTTTAAACTTGAAGTATCAAACTGGAGTGGGTAATGACTAAAATGATGCAATTTTAACTAAAATGTTGTCTTCTTAAGATAAAGGATCCACACCATCTCATGATAAGTCACGCATGATTTTGGCACATCTGGAATTTAGTAGGATTGCATCACCCAATGCAGTCAAAAGCTAACCAGTTTACTTCAAATTGCTGTTACTGCATTTGCATTCAGATATGGCAATAAGAAAGATGCTTGCCACATTGGATGATCCCTTCACTAGGTTTCTGGAGCCAGAGAAGTTCAGAAGTTTAAGGGTATGAGTTTTTCTCATTCTAAGTTTTCCTTTAGCTTATCTTACATAAAGTCCTAACTGCATATTGGATAATACCGTCTGTTCAGTCTAGCAAATAAATGCTTCTCTAGACTTTAATAGCAAGAACTAATTTTTTGTTGAAGGCAGTCTGGAACTCAAGGCGCTCTAACTGGAGTGGGGTTATCAATAGGCTACCCTACCAAAGCTGACATGCCACCTGGTGGGCTTGTTGTCGTTTCAGCTTCTCCAGGAGGTCCTGCATATAGAGCTGGTGTTTTGTCTGGAGATGTTATCCTAGCAATTGATGATACGAGCACAGAAAACATGGGGCTATATGATGCGGCTGAACGCCTACAGTGGGTTTTTTCTCCTACATGACACTTGTGCTTTCAAATCAATATTTTCCTCCACAAATGGTGAAAATAAAAAGATAAAAGAACATATTATCAATATTATGCTAAAGACCAAGGGATATGATTGCATTTATGTCTTAAATCCCAGCAAGTTAAGAGTATAGTACTATGTCAATATAAATATGGGAGTATTATATTCTGTGCCTTTATCTGTGCAAAGTCTTACAAGCTTGTCTATTGTTTAATATCTCTTACTTGGTATTGTTACTCTATTATTAGAGCCAATTGTAAGGTTCTAGCTACTTGAAAATTAACGTAAACATCCATTTAAAAGAACAAACTTTCTTGTACTTCACATTATTTTCCTCGACTTATCTATTTGATTGCCTAACCTTTTAAAGAAAATTACAGGGGACCTGAAGGAAGTTCTGTCGCTTTGACCATTCGCAGCGGTTTGGATGTAAAGCATCTGGCTTTGACGTAAGTTAGTTTTCTTCCAAAATGGAAGTAGATTTAAGTTTTGGCCCCTTGAGAGTATGTTTTGTTTTGTAGGATGATTCAGAAAACTTGCAATTTGATAGCACTTCATTATGTTTAGTTACATTCATGTGATTAATCATTGTGACCATTGTTAACTCTCCTAAATTTTACTGAAAATAAGAGTTTCTGCATTTCAGGCGAGAGAAAGTTTCATTGAATCCAGTGAAGTCAAGACTGTGCAAGTTACCTGCTTCAGGAAATGATTCCCCAACAGTTGGTTATATCAAACTAACATCTTTCAACCAAAAGGCATCTAGTAAGTAGTACTTCATGGTCTAAGCATGATTTTTCTTGCTTCTATACCACTATGAAAAAGGATAATTATCTAAGTAATATACTTTAATCATGTGACACTTTTTTGGCCTAATATGTCGAGGCATAGTTCTTCTTGCTATGCTCGGCAGTTTGGTCTGGGAAAGAGTTGCAAAATGTCCCTCGAGAACCGTTGCTATTCCTCCCCTTCTTCAGGGTAGATATGGAGTGTGACCAGTTATTGCATTTTTTTTAAAAATAAATAAATAAACAGTTTCGTTGAGAATTTTTACTGTTTTAATGGGTATACTTAAAAGACTGAAGCAAGAAATGCAAAATATATCCAAACTAAGTATTGAACAGGAAGCAAGCTGTTCGTCCATAATTATTCCTAGTAACTACCTCCTGCAAACACTACCAACATTCCATAAGGCCTTAATACCTCCCCATTGGAGAAAGGGTGCTACTTACTGTTACACTAGGGAAAAACAGCTTATAGGTTAATAAGCTTCCCATAAGAGTGCAGCCTAGGCTTCTAAGCTATCCTACTTAAGCATTCCCTTTGGAGGCTAGATCCTCACAATGTTTACGTTTCCTTGGTGTAGTAGCCCATCATAAATCACGGCAAAGCATGGATAAAAGAAGTATAGGTCCCAATGTGGATGTGAGCTTCTATATTTATATAATGCTAATAGGGTTTCAATACAATGTTTTACAAGTAGTAAAAATAAGTAAAAGACTAAAATTCCCCTACATAAATCATTTGACATATTAAAGGCACTGCTAAATATAAAAATTTCTACTTCACTTTTGATTTAAACTAATCACGATTTAGATTTTTGTAAATATTAATACTTGTTTATCATTACCTTAACTGGTCCATTACTCTGTGGTTATGAAAAAATTTCTGTATTTCCTGGTGGATCTGCCACCCTTGCAGGAGCTGTCAAGGAAGCAATCAATACATTAAGGAGTAATAATGTTAATGCATTTGTCTTGGACCTTAGAGATAACAGGTGATTTAGCAATAACATTTCACATGATGTACATTCAACCACTAGCTTTCTGAAGCTTATGTTTGTTGCAGTGGTGGTCTTTTCCCAGAAGGAATTGAGATTGCCAAAATCTGGTAAGATATGCTTATCAACTATTGGCATTTTTACATCTTGTATTGTGTTAAATCTTTTGCTGGTGGTGCTTGAAATTCGCCTAGATGGTTTCTCCATCTTTCAGGTTACAATTATTTCATGTCTGCAGTAAGGGCCACTCCACTATTCTTACCTTTTTCATGATCAGAATTGTTCTATAACCATATAATCGGAAACACATTTTACCATTTAATTATATTGCATTTCTAAACTGGGTTGTGAAATTCTTTCAATAGTCACAGAAAAGGACTCTTTTAGTATTATCTTAATTTTTTTCTTTTACTTAATCATCTTATTTTCAGCTTCAAGTTCTAACAGATATTATCAACCAGGTTGGACAAAGGTGTGATTGTGTATATTTGTGATAGTCGTGGCATTCGAGATATACTTGATACAGATGGAAGTAGTGCACTAGCAACTTCAGAACCCCTAGCTGTACTGGTACGTTTATGCTTTCTACACGTACTACATCTGTATCAGAGTTAAGAATTTGGCCCAAATGCTTAGTAGGTAAATATGATAGTTCTCTTTTCTTGTTTCACAAAAATAGGGTTTTGCCGGCCATGCAAGTATTGAGGGCTATTTGTATTGGGCATGAGAGGGAGCCTGTAAGGGTTTCAAGAGAGTCTTGAGCATTCATAGCCTTGGGCAGAGATGCAGGGATAGCAGTTAGTTGTGGGGCGAAAAGGATGTTTGAGAGTTCCATTAACTCTTATCTTGTAATCCATTTTGATATCATAGTTAAAAAAAATTCTCAGCTCATTTGTGGTTGTGGATGTAGACAATATTTCAATATTTTGTTTTTTTGTTTCCTTTTATCTTATAGCAATACCCACAACACCTAGAACTCATTAAAAATATGCATCTTCATTTCTGACTAAATGCCATGCATTAGGCTTGATTCCTCAATAGTTGAGATGTTGGAAGTTTCCTACTTGTTTCATGATTATTTTGGAACTTATGATGTAATTACATATGCTTTCTAAAATTCAATTACATCTTGTCAGAATTTAATGTACTAGTTTAAGGATCTTGTTGCTGTTTAGAAATGAATGAGATTGAGCTAATGTGGGAACTTTAGGGTTTTAGGATGCAATTCACTGTCTGAATTTGAGGATAATGAATAAATGTTAGGATGACTTTGGGTAAGGTATGGATTAGTTATTGTTTTGAAGTCATGGGAATATTAAGGGGTGGTGTTCTACCAGATGTGAGCCAGGTCCATAAATCTAATTGTGAAGATGGGAAAGTAGAAGTTAAACTTATTTGAGTACAGCTATTACATTATTGTTTATGCATCTAAATAATTTTTTATTCAGTGTTCATAGTTCTGTCCTTCAGATTTCCAATTTGTCATTTATTTCTATGGTAAAAATGAGTAATTAAATATCTTGAGCCTATATCAGGTAAACAAGGGAACTGCTAGTGCAAGCGAAATACTAGCTGGTGCATTGAAAGATAATAAACGGGCCATATTGTTTGGAGAGCCAACATTTGGTAAAGGGTAATTACTTTTTCATTTGGTTCACAATCCAACATACTAAAACTTTTGTTATTTTCCTGATACGAGCTATACATACATCGATGCAGGAAGATCCAATCAGTTTTTGAGCTCTCAGATGGCTCTGGATTAGTTGTTACGGTTGCTCGCTATGAAACACCTGCACACACAGATATTGACAAGGTCTGCTCTTGACTCTTGACTCTCTCCACCACCTCAAATGGCTAACCCCACTAACACCCTCCATTTGCTTTTGCATCTAGGTTGGTATCATTCCTGACCATCCTCTACCAACATCATTTCCTAAGGATGAGGATGCATTTTGCAATTGCCTCCAGGATCCTGCATCTTCTTGCCATGTCAACAGGGTCCAGCTATTTTCTAAATGATGATGCATATATATATATGTGTGTGTGTGTGTGGGGTATATTTATTCTTTGAGAAAGATTACAATTCTTTAACCGAACATGCTTTTGGGCCTCATTAATAGAGAGATTTTTGTTCCTGAAAATTAACAGAATAAGTGCAAAGAAAACCAAAAACAAACCTAAATTATGATTGTTCACAACATTGGATGCCTGTGATTGTCAGCAAGACGTGTAGCATTTTTGTGAGCTCCAGTGGAACATTTTGCCATCAGACTTGGATTGGCTGCATAAATAGGACTATGGGAGTGCAAACTACTGAGTTATGATCAAGAAGCTGTGCAAACTATTAGAGATAACATTATTAAATTGTTCAACAAATTCATCAAACTTAATTACCGATCAGCTAAAAATATAAGGCATGGATTACAAAACACTAATTAATTTTCTTGTTTAATGTATATTATTAACGTGCTCAAAGTCTTGACAGAAGTTTTTTGTTGTTTTCCTTTGTAAATGTAATTGTAAAACCCATATTATATCGAACAGTTCAATTAGGCGTTCGTTCGTTAGTTCGACATCGGTCCAATGATCCGGCCAACTGAACGTTTCTTCTTTTTTTTCTTTTTTTTTGTAATACTGAACGTTTCTTCTTAACGAAACAGGAAAAAGAAAATTCAGAAAATTTGCTCATTTTTTCGAAGATTTCTTTTTTTTTTAAATAAGTATATATTCAGGTTTCCATATTATTATTTTTGACATCGAGCAAAATTTAGCAAACATGCTCAACTAGACTTGCCAGAGAAGTTATCGAATTTCTGTCGCCAAGATTTTACTACTACACATGGGAGAGAAAATGTAGTAACAAGATGCAAGGAAAGATTAATACTAAGTACAGTTCACAAGATTAGTTTTTTTTTTTAATCTAACTCAAATAATATATTATACGATGCAGAATCAATTGAATGTTGATATTGTTTGTGTAAAATTGCGGTAAATTTATATAGGAAAAATGTTTGTCTTTTGAAATGATATCATTTTAGTTAAAATTACTGCTTTTATTTAATACTTAAATTAAAAAAAAATCACTTTCTCTCGTCATGATTTCTATTGTTTTAAATATAAAATAATAGTTTTGACTAAAATGACATGCGTGTATTACGTGACAAACGAACTGAAATGCATACATGATACTGACATAATCAGACTGGACTGAAACGTGCACCTGACACTGACGTGTCTAGATGCGCACCTGGTATTAACGTATCTAAACATATGTTATAGGCACATATGCATGAAATACGAATACATCAGTGCGCGACTAAACGCATAGCCACCTGATAATATATTTGGTCAAATTAGGCTAATAATACATTTGGTCAAAGAACTAAACTGATGGAATATTTCGAAAAACACATTTGTCAAGTCAAAAAAGTCAGATTTATGGTTTTCAAGTCTTATATGATACTACCTCATCCTACTTACGAATATAGCGTACACCTTGATTTAATATGAATTATATTGCTAATTTAAAGAATTTGTATTTGTCATTTAACATGACACAACAAATTTTCCTATACTCACAAGATTTTGTGAGGTCCACACTTTTTGAAGAAAAAAGAAAAAAAAATTACGGCACAATCTCTATAACATTACACAATCATTTTTCCTACAACATAACTCTTATAAAACCCCTAATTTAAACTACTATTTTTTTAAAACTGAATATCATTATCTGTAGATGCTTAATTTAATAAAATGTATTCGAAGAAATTAGGTATACTATAGCCAAATTAATCTTAAATATAACCTCTTTTACCAAATAATATAAACAAAAGCATTGTGTCAAACAAGTGTACTTATCCATGTACACGTATCATGAAGTGGCACCAAGCATAATAGACTCTCCCTCCGCAAGGTTCTAGTGAGATTAGTGGCACGGCAATACAGAACATCGCAACAATCTTTACACAGATGACAGCGTACGAATGTTCTTAACCAAATAATCATTTTCTTTTTACCCAAATTTTGGAGTTAATGAGTATCAAATAGCCCAATAATTAAGAATAATTTTTTTTTCATAAGCTTTCACAAGCTGTTCGAAAAAAAAATGACTTCCTTCAAAATAATCTCTTCTGCGCATGCACCTAAGATATGCCAAGGAATAACAACAAACCTGCATCACACTAAGAACTGACTTAGGCAGATGTAAACAATTCCAACACTGAAGTTGACATCATTTTCTCTAAAAAAATCCAAAATTGAACTGAATAGTTTAATTTTAAGGTTCAAACTAAAACTATCAAGAATTTTCCCTGCAGAGTTGCCCCCATTAATGTATAAGTAAACCTTCAGCGCCCAAGTGCCAAGATCGTTCAAGTTTGGCAACTGTGCGATCAACCTACAATTGTCCATATCATACATCTACAGTGTTAAAAGGCAAGGGCATTGAACTTCTGGGGTGTAAAAGAAGCTTCGAGTTCTTGCTCCACCAGCGAAAATTATTACAGTGGCAAAATAATATCGCCTTGTCCCCATCCCATCATAAACATGCAATTGCCTATTAAACTGAGAATGAGCACTAGTATGGCCTGAATCGCGTGGGTCTTCTATACCTCGGGACCCTACTGCATGTCAAAAAGATTCAATCTTAATAAAACATAGTGGGCCATGAAGAAATAAAAACATTTTATCAGATCACAGAAAGAATAACAAGTCACCAATCAAATTATCAAAACTTAATTTTCTCATACGTTGTATACTTAATTCTCGGGCAAGCCTAGGAGCAGCGATAAGGTTACACCTTGTAATCAGAAGTGATTCAGAACATCACAAGTTCAAGTCTAGAAAACAGCCTCTTTACAAAAAATGCAAAGGTAAACTGCATACCATAGAGTCTCGCCCCTACCCTCGCCAGTCAAGAAGCTTTTGCCCCAGGGTTTACCCTTTTTAGCTGTATTAGTTAATTTTCTCATACTCTAGTTCATTTTTTATCCACCATCAGTCAGTGAAATTTTTTTACACTATCAACAAGTCAAGCGCTAGGACATCATTAAAAAAATTTGACTTCTGGTCTCCACAAGGTGTCACCACCTTTTGCATGCAGGGCCAATCCCCACTCGAAGCCCAGGTCATAAGGTGCTGTCAGCAATATTCGAACTCTCCTGTGTTGCATGTAAAGTTCGCCCACATGGAACTCATATTTATGTGGTTTCAAATACAAACATTTAGAAGGGTTATATTCAATATCTCTCTACTGCCCTTAAAAAGAACTCTTGGGGAGACTTGCTGACTCAGTTTCAAAAAATATCAATTATTGTTTCTTATTACGTTTGTGTGTGAGCGTGTGTTTGTGGATGTGTGTATGCTCAGTCCATAAGAAGAAAAACAAAAATTTAAAACCAACATATTCTAGTTTTCTGATGTGTTGCTAGGTGGTCAAGGGCTCATGGTAATAGGAATGTATATTGAACATGAGGCTCTCTAGTAGTCTAGTTTAACAAACATGTTTATAGGTTGTAAAAAAAATAGCCAACTACAAGCAAATCCATCTGTTAGTTTGCAATGCCACCATTTCAATCAAAAATCATTTTTACTTTCCAAGACATCAAAATTTACACAATGCATATCAGTGAAAATTGAAAGTAAAAACAAATCCAAGGTAAATCTTTTTATTTCCTTCAGCTTCTAATAATGGCTTACCCATAACCATATGGTGGATAGAATGGAGAAGGCATGAAAGGCCTCCTAGATCTGAAACCAACTGGTCGTCTTCCATAATACTGTTTCATTCCAGGAACATTTGTACGTTTAGCAGACACCTGAAGGGAAAACCAGAATTCAAATATGATCCAATGGAAAAATGGACTGACTAATTGAAATTACACAGATCATCTAATAGTAAAGACCTTTAGTTGTCGACCATGCAATTCTGATTCATTTAACAGGAGAGCATTCGGAACAGCATCAACCTCAACAAACTCTACATAAGCAAATCCTTTTGGTTGACCAAATTTGTCTGTCAATATTGTCACTCTGTTCACAGTTCCACATGACTGAAAATGCTGTTGGACTTCTTCAGGTGTACATGCATAGTCAACCTGAATCACATAATATGGAAACCTTGATAAATTACAAAACTCGGTTGAAGCCCTATAAGATTATAATGAAATTAAAAACTGTTGAATCACAGTCATGCATCGTTGGAATTTTGATGAAACAACTTTCATCAATTCAATTGGCCATTGGTGTCAAAACCATAATTATCAATAGCGGGTAGCAGCGCATAGCAGCCGGCCCTAAAAATGTTTTAGTGTATAGCAAGTACCGGTATAGCCGCTACAGTGAAGCCTGACTGTAAAACCACAAAACAGAGGCTGGAAACAGAAGGGGAAGTGGGTCTAGAGAAAACATAGGCTGAGGTGTCCTGTGGTGAAGCCTTGCTGGAAAACCGCAAAACAAGGGACAAAAAAGGAAGTGGGTTGAGAGGAAACAGAGGCAAGGAGCCACTGTCAATAGACTGAAGTGGGTCAAAGAGAGAAGTGAGTCGAAGGAGAGTGAACTTTCAGTAGCTTGCCGAAAAACCAATGGAAGTTTGATGGGCTTGCCGGAATGTGAGTCGAGAGTGAGTGGAGAAGGCCCAGATGGGAGTCGAGAGATAGGGTTCAAAACTTGAAAAAGTAACATCATAATAACAAAAATAATAATTAAAAAAAAATCAAAAGCCGAGTATAACCCTTAATATGAGCATGGGGCATTAGTTACACAGGAGCAAATATAGGATTTCACCCCATACTATAGGCGCGATTGCGGCCGCTACAGCAGCTACAAAAAATTGTAGCATTGAGTCGCAGAAATAACGGCTGGGGACCCACATGTATAGCGCAATTGCACGCAATAGAGGCAAAATTAATAACCTAGGTCAAAGCCAACCAATCCAAACCAATGAACACCTATAAAGAAGTAGGACCCAAAAACTACTAAAGATTTAATAGAAACATAATCAACATGTAAAGTTGGAAAATTGACAACTTAAAATGGTAAATGCGGGTGATGACTGATAAGAAAAATATTTAATAATTTAAACTTTGTGGGGTTTAACTGATGTGGACCACAGAAGTGTACCTTTTAGTGGGGTTCCTAGAGCACGCTTAATTTCCAGTAACAGATTTGTTTCGTGTGACTTCTATCATATGTAAAAGCTAACCAACAAGTCTGCTAACCGTATCTAATTTTTGCTCTCGTGAGAAACATCCTACAACAGAAGTGACATCTATTCTTTCTATTTACCCACACCCCCCCAATATCTAAATCTTTAAATTTTCACCAATAGGACAAATGTCAAAAAACTTGAGCAAAAACTCTTAAGTTATCAGGAAAGCACGGACCTACAGACAACTAAGTCAATCTACTTGTGCAGTGTGCGCATAACATGCTTGAGATATAAAATACAATTATAAAGCAGCATGGATTTGAAAAGAGGCATAGTAAAGATATGTAAACCTCACATTACCAACATAGATCGATCGAGCATCCACTTCCTCTTTTTCAGCTTGAGATGCAGAAGAGCCAGACGAATCTTAAAATCAAAACAAAATATTTTAAAAAATAAATAAAAATCATTTTAACTTAACAAACACATGTAGGCCCAAATAAACAGATCTGAATCAATCAATCAGTGACATGAGAAAAAAAAAACCCTCTCTCGGTTTACAGAAAGCATTGAGAAGCGAAACAATCAAACCTTGAACAGCTCCCATCTCTTTTTCAACCTTGGCCTGCATTTCGCGAAGGGCACTAGCTTCTTCCTCGATCTCCTTCAACCTCTTCTTCATATCCTCCAAGTCCTATGGTATTCATTCATGTTAATCACAGAAAGGAGAAAGAGAGAGAGAGAGAACAAATAAGAGTAACGTAACCCTAACCCTAACCCTAACCTTGTTTGGGTGATTGGGGGTAAGTTCTTCATCTTCTTCTTCATGTTGTTCTGCATCTGCGTCCATCTCAACCTCCTCATCGGGAATGTCTGCACCATACACTTCGTGCTCTTCCTGCTCCATCTCTATTCTATTCTCCCTCTCTCTCTCTCTCTCTCTCTCTCTCTCTCTCTCTATTTGCGGAGCAACCCAGTTTTGTTTTAATTTTTCCACAAGTCCGACGATAATCTAATTCGAACAAAGATAGCGAAGGATATACATTTATAACATTTATAACATTATTAATCATCGATGATTTATAAGATTTATTATTTTCAGCAATTTAACGATTTTAATTTATTAAAAATTATTGGATCGTATTTATTAATTAATTATTAATTTTCATAAATTATAATCGTTAGATTGATAGAAATCAATGATAATTAAATTAGTTGTAAATATTGTAAACTTTTTTTGTGGTAAAATATTTTTTCCCTTGGAACATACTATTATTCTTATATTTTAAAAATCCAAATAAAAATAAATAAAGAAAAAAATATTGTAACAATCAATTATTATCAATCAATTTCACTGATAGATTGATTATGTTGATCACACGGTCATATTTATTTTCATCTTTGTATGGTTATGATTCCCCACACTTCATGTGAAATGTGGGGAATCATAACCATACAAAGATAAAAATAAATATGACCGTTGGATCGACATAATTAATCTACCGATGAAATTGATTGGTAATAACATTGATAGTAACATTAATTAATTATTACAAAATCTTACCCCATAAATAAATAACTTATAATTATAGCTTGTTGACAACATTTAAAAAAAATGTTTTTCTTTTCAATGCTTGATCTGATGTATATATTAATTGTTTTCATTAATATTATTTTTTGAAACACTATAACATTAATATCTGTTATATATATCGTGGTGGATTATTTTTCCTTTATGGATATGGTGAAACGCGTGGAACACATGTGGAGAACATTTATGGCTCATTATAGATTTGGACGTTCAAGGAAGCAATAATGTAAAATCTAATAAATTACAACCAAATTCAAATTAAAAGTAACAAATTTGACATTAATTTGAAATATAGGATTTAATATGCGTTTTGAATAATTTAATTATAAATATGTATTTTTATTTTTAGAAATTTTCTTTATTTTATAGAAGTAGCTATCATCATATTTATTTTTATGAAATGTCCTTTTTAAATTTTAATTACTCTATAATTGATATATTAAAAAGATGCTTACGAATTTTATTATAAAATTAAATGTTTCTTATTTTAATAATTATAGGTAAGAACAAGGAATTTCTCTTTTATCAAGTCTTAACTTTTTTATTTAGCTACTTTTTTATGAACTTTTGATATCGTATATACTAAATACTTTAGTATAGTTTGATAAGAACTTGTTTGTTTCAGTATTTTTTAAAGTACTTTAAAAAAATTATAATAATTGATTAAGTTATTAGAAAAAAGAAACAATAAAATTAGTTTTAGTTTTTTTTTCTGTAGTTAAAAATTTTAGCTGTTGAAAAAACAACCTAAAAAATATACCATAATTTTGTTTTTCAAAGCTTATTCAAATAATTATTTATATCTTCTTCTTAATTATTTGCTAAATCAATCTAAAATGATTTTGACTACTTTTATTTTATATATGGATAAATATTAGTGATGGAAATATATTAAAATACTGTATACTTTTGTCAAACACGAATCATAAAATTAAAAAAAAAGTAATAATTATTCTGAATTGTAAATTATAACTAGTTGTTTAATTTTATTTTTAGTAGCTGTCTCTAAATATAAAATTGTGACGAGTAGAAATTTACCAAAAAAATAAAATAAAATTGTGACGAGTAGAATAAGAATTCCGTGCTAGTAAACATTTTAACCATATATGGCACCTACTCTATTTTAAAGAAATTATTAGGTCTTACTTTTGTTTTTTGTTTTTAGGCTCGTCATTAACTCCAAAGTTCTTAATGTGGTTACATTTGATTTTATAATTTAAGTGGGTATATATCTCTTAATTGATAATCAGTTCACTCTTTATCATGTCACTTTAAAAGAGTTTTTTACCTACACACATAAATCAAGTATGAGTCTCACACTTTAAGGGGGCGTTTGGTAGAGGAGAAATTTTTTTATCCGAGAATCTCAATTTTTAAAAATATGATTTTTATATTCAGTTTATGATAATATTCAAAAATTAAAAATTTAGAAAAATTCAATTTATGATCAATCCTATAAAATGACGGGTACCAAAAGCCCCCTAAAAAAATAGAATCCAAGGCTGGATCCTATTACAAGACAAAAACAGTGTGATTCGTGCAAAGTAACAAAGTGATTTCCCATTATTCACTTGAAAACATATTTCTTAAAAGAGGTAGGATCCTTTGATACCTCATCTGAGAGTCATTAAATCAAAAAAGATCAATGGTGTCATATGCTTACAAATCAGAGTCGTTGATTTTTTTTTATCTTGCAGCTCTCAGATAAGGTGTTAAATTTTAAATTTGACACTAGTGTCAAATGATCTACCTCTTCTTAAAAATAATAATAATAAAAGCAACTATATATTTCTATCTTCGTACTATAAGCATACAAGATAGCTGCGTTAAACATAAAATTGTAGTCTCTCTTTTTTTGGTAGAAACATACAATTGTAATTTACGATAGCTACATGTTATAGTTTTCATTTATATACAGTTTATACCAATGATCTCAAATGCTATAAATAGTTTGTGGTTACATATATATTCATTCCAGTGAGTGTATGAATTATTTGTAAGATATCTGGGTCTTCAATATTTTTCTGTTCGGTTAGGGTGTGCATGACAACTTTCTCAGAATTAATTTTTTTTAATTTCTGTTCCCGGGAACAGAAATGGATAGAAAACTTATTTGGTAAAATCGGTTTATTTTTTTATTCCCAAAATAAACCAATTTAATTTTTGTGCTGGGAAACCAAAAATAAAATCAAAAAATTTCTGTTTTTTTGTTTCCGGGCACAAAATGAGAAACACTTAGGGTGTGCATGACAACCATTTTATTCCTTAGCACTGTTTCTGAAAAGAAACAATTCTTTTCTATTTCTGTTTCTTGGAACAGTTTCTGAGAAAAAAAATGTGTTTGATAACATGTTCTATTTTTATTCTGAGAATGAGAATTGCGTTTGATAACATGACAAACAATATAATAAAAAATAATTCCTATTAAATATAAAAAAAATTCGGATCATCACTTTCATTTCTATATGGTGTGGTTGTGGTGGTGGCGGTGGCGGGGGGTGGCATGGTGGTGGCGGCAGTGACGTGGCGATGATAGTGATGGTGGTTGTGACGGCAGTGGCGGTGGTAATGGTGGCGACGACGGTGATAGTGGTAGGGATGGTGGTGGTGGAGGTAACGGCAGTGGTTGCGACAATGGTGGTGATGGTGGTTGGTGGCGTTGGTGACGGCGACAATGGTAGCGGTGGCTTGGTGGTGGTGGTTGTGATGGCATTATGGAGGTGGTGGTGGTGGTGACGGTAGTGGCTGTGACGATTGTGGTGGTGGTTGGTAGTGGCGGCGGTGTCGGTGGTGGCTGCAACAATGATAGTGGTGGTTGGTGACAGTGGTGGTGATGGTAGCGGTGCCGTTGTGGTGGTGGTAGTGGTGGTGATGGCAATGGTGGCGGCAGTGGTTGCGATGATGGTGGTGGTGGTGGTGATGGTGACGGTGATGGTGGTGATGGTTGCAGCAGTGGTAGTTGTGGTGGTGGTGATGGTGGCGGTGATAGTAGCGATGCCGTTGTGGTGGTGGTAGTGATGGCGATGGCGGCAATGGTTGCAATGATGATGGTGGTGGTGGTGGTGATGGTGGCATGGTGGTAGTGATGAGTAGAGGTGTTGGTGATGGTGGCTGTGACATCATGGTGGTGAGGGGTGGTCACGACAGCACTAGTGGTACGACGGCGCGGCAACGATGGTGGCGGTGGTCGTGTTGGGATGATGGTGGTGATGGTGATGATGGTAGAGATGGAGAGTGATTAAGAGAGAAAAGTGTTTCTCATTTTGTGCCCGGGAATAAAAAAGCAGAATTTTTCTAATTCTTTTTTCTGTTCCTCAGCACAAAAATTAATCTGGTTCATCTCGAGAACAAAAAAATAAACTGATTTTACCAAACAAGTTTTCTATCCATTTCTGTTCCCGGGAACAGAAATTAAAAAAAAAAATTGATTCCGAGAAGGTTGTCATGCACACCCTTATTTTTCTCAATCACTCTCTACCACTATCATCATCAATTCATCATCATCACCACCACCATCATCCCGACACGACCACCGCCATCATCGTCGTCGCCGTTGTTGTACCACCAATGTCGTCGTTACAACCACCATTATGATGATGTCACCGCCACCATCAACACCACCATCACCACCACGACAATGTCATCGCCCCCACCTCCACCATGCCACCGTCATCACCGCCACCACCATCGTAGCCACTGCTGTTACCACCACCACCATAATCACCACCACGATGCCACCACTTCCACCACTGTCATCAACCACTACTACCATCGCTGCAGCCATTGTTATCACCACCACCATCGTCACAACCACTACTATCGTCATCGCCATCGCCACTACCACCGCCACCATTACCACCATTATTGGCGCAGTCACTACCGTCACTACCACCACCATTACTGCCACCATTATCGCCGCCACCATGCCATCATTACGTCATCGCCACTGCCACCACCACCACCATCATCTCCGCAGTCACTGCCGTCACTACCATCATCATGTGTCATCGCCAACACCACCGTCGCCGCCGCCACCGCACCACCACCACTATGATGCAGCCACTGTCGCCGTCACCATTACCACCACCACGCTGCCATCACCCACGTCGCCACCACCACCCTCGCCATATGGAAAGGAAAAATGATGATCCAAAAAAAATATGCTTAATAGGAATTATTTTTTATTATATTATTTGTTGTGTTATCAGACGCAATTCTCATTTTCAAAATTAAAATATAACATGTTATCGAACACATTTTTTCAAGGCACGGAAATAGAAAAAAATTATTTCTTTTCAAAAACAGTGCCGGGAACATAATGATTGTCATATACATCCTTAACCGCTTGATGTGGTGGCTTCCTGAATTAATTGAATGAATCTATTTGTTATGTGGAAATTCTTATTACGTTAAAATTTATT